TGTGCTTGGTCCTCTTCTCTTCATCCTCTACCTTCAACCCCTCAGCCAAATCATTCGTCATCATGGTCTCCAGTTCCACTGCTACGCTGATGACGTTGTTGGGGGAAGAGCGGCCTCCTCTTCCCCGCGTGTTCGTTGGATTTCGGACAAGGAGAATGTTGGTTCTTCAACTAAAGGCTGGAGTCAATGAACAGTTCCTTCGAAGGGTTTAATATATTTTTCTGCAGTTTATGAATTGATTTGGGCTACTGAGGGTTCCAGATTTCAGTCAGGAAGCGTAAAAGAAACACATTCATGAGATTATATAGAGACAATATGATAATGAGAGGCGGGGAGGTACGCCTCTCATGCAAATCCCGGAAACAAAGAAAGTAACATGTCATCTGACCCGGTGTGGCTGGAAGAAGTTGGGGGTGGTGAGGTGAGACCAGACCACCACTACCCACCATTTGGTGTGATGGCAGGAACACAGATACTTGAGATAACAGTTCCTCTTTTGATGTTAAACATGTCCTATGGAGGGGGGCCCTAAAAGTGGTGGGGGTCGAGGGGCACTAAAGGTGATTGTAAACACAGTGAGCAGGAAATACCTCCAACAACATTCTACATTCTTTGTTTCTTTCAAATCCAACTAACAGAGAGGAATAATACCTTAACAACGTCCAATTGTACATCTCCATCAAATCATTTACCCCAACAACCCACTCCACCTTGTCTAACTGTCTTTCAGATATCAAATGCTGGATGCAAACAAACTTTCTCACACTTAACTGCACTAAATCTCAACTGCTAATAATCGGTCCTCGGTCCCTCATCCAAACAGATTCCAACTTTAACCTCACTATCAACAACTGCACAACAGGAGGATGCTAGCTAAGCTAAAAGCTATGATGGACAGTCCCTCCCACCCCCTCCAGCCCGCCCTGACAGCACTAGGTAGCTCCTTCAGCCAGAGACTGTTACACCCACGCTGCAAGGAGAGATACCGCCGCTCGTTCCTACCGACTGCTGTCAGGCTGCTGAATAAAAAATAAAATGATGTGAAAAACAATTGTAAATAGCACTGCCACCTGATCTATATCTATATTTATATAGCACTTAATTGAACGGTGTACATTGAAGCTCTAACATTTATTTTGTGAATGCAAACACTTTGTTTTTCTTCTTTTTTCTTTCTACCCACAACCTTGCTGTAGTAGACTGTAAATTTCCCCAGTGTGGGACAAATAAAGGATATCTTATCTTATCTTATCTGTTCCCCTCCTCTCACTGTCGCAACCTTGATGCCCTTTTTGATAATAACCTGTCTTTCGACCAACACATCACCCAATTCACCAAAACTGCTTTCTTCCACCTCAAAAACATTTCTCATCTCCGCCCTTCACTTTCTTTCAACGCCGCTCAAACCCTCATCCACGCCTTCATCACCTCCCGCCTTGACTATTGCGATAGCATTCTCGATGGTACAACCTCCAAACTCCTCAATAAACTACAGTACCACCAGAATGCCGCCACCCGTCTACTCACCCACACCCGCACTCGTGATCACATCACCCCCGTCCTTAAAAACTTTCAGTGGCTCCCTGTTCCCCACTGTATTCAGTTTAAACTCCTCCTACTCACCTATGAAGCACTTCACAATCAGGCCCCCTCCTACCTTTCCGACCTCCTTCACCAATACACTCCTTCCCGCAACTTCCACTCCTCAAACACAAACCTCCTCACCATCCCCGTGACCAAGCTCAAAACCTGGGGGGACCGAGCATTCTCTGTTGCCGCCCCCAACCTCTGGAACGCTCTACGACAACACATCCTCAACTGTACTGACCTCCAATCCTTCAAATCATCTCTTAAAACGCACCTGTTCCGCAATGCTTTGAACACCTTTTAATCTCTTTTACCCATTTTTGCTTTGTTTTGTTCATCTAAATGTGTTTTTTGTAAATCATGTATGCTTGTCTCTAAGTGTATATTTTTATCCTCTGTTTTAAATCTCTTGTAAAGTGTCTTTGAGTATGATGAAAAGCGCTTTCAAATACAATGTATTATTATTATTATTATTATTATAAACAACTGAGAAGGATATGGAGACATCAAAATGGAGAACCCCTGAGACAATCTCCACCACCTCCCTCCAGAAAATCTGGATGCCGGGGCAGGACCAGAAAATATGGGCATGATCCGCTGTGGGTTCTCCACATTCCCCCCAGCAGCCCAATTGGGCACCAGGCTGTTTAGACTTGGGGGTAGTGAAATAACGTTACATACGAAATATTTTTTTCCACGGGTCAAGCCACATCTTCTGTAATTTCAATGTTCAATTCTTTTTCACACTCGCAAACACTTTTTCACATAGTCGGTGGTGACCTTAAATAGCAAAATAATACCATGGTTTAACTGATTTATAAGGCTGTTGCTGCTCCCTGAATTATAAGCATCCATAAATATATGACCAATCAATGATGGGTCATCATCGAATTGCGGCCTCTCAATCTCTGAGCTCCAGGTACCTAAAAACATCTTGCTTGCCGTGGCGTGGTTCGGACATAAATGATTAAAGCTGTTAAGCTCCCAGTCTTTGAAAATTTTGCACATAGGAGTAGTGCCACCGTAAAGTCATCGCCTGGAACCATGGTCGAACAAAGTTGGTGTAAACTTTACACCAACTTTGTTCGAAATACAGTAAATATTCTCTAGTGCGGACTCGTGTTTGCGCTGTGCAATTTGTCCTGATAACAGAAATTCCTCATTTGGGAAATGAGCATGGTACATGTCCTTTATGAACCTGCAAGTATGTTGACAAAATGCATGTGTAACACAATCAATAAAATACAAAAATATACTGTCCAAAAACTGTTTATATAACAAAAACTGCAATACAGGTGTATCCCAAAAAAATCACAACAGTAAAATACATACAGTATTTTAATGTTTATTTTTTTCTGTATTGGGAAAAAAAATGTGTCTATTTTGGATTGTTTTGTTGGATGCATTCTTTGGTTTATGACAATGTTTGCCTGCGTGTCATACAGTTTTCTTGCTAGCTGCAAGTAACTGTCCCGTTGTTGACCGATGTCTGGTAATTCTTGTACATACTGACGGATTTTTGTTGCCATTTGCATTGCTTCCTCGCTGGATGGTGGCTTGTCATCAGGAGGTGAATCGATGCCTTGTTTTTTAAAGTTTCGTAGATTTGCGTCTTTCCGACTCCAAGTGTCTGCTGGATGTTTTTAACTTTGTGTCCAGCCTCGCTCAAACGGATGCATTTCACTCGCTCCGCTCCAGTCATTACAGTTCTTCTACGTTTCGATGCCATGATCTACACGACGTAAGTGAATAAAGTTAAAATCATTCACAATTACAGTAAAACGCACGCCAATAAAAACTCACTTACACGTCGTCGTTTCGAATCTGATGATCGAAAAACGCGAAGTGAAAATGTGTCTCAGCGTCGTGTCTTTCCGTAGCATCGGGTGGGCGTTGCGTGTATTTAAGCTCCCGCGGCATGACGTCTCAATCCGGGTTACGGGTAGTGGAATTTCCGCTTACGTAAGTTCCGGTAACATGTAATATCGTAGTCAAAATGTTAATGCATAGGTTTTTGTTCCGGGTGAAGGAAATTCCTTTTCATAGAATTCCGGGGATGGGAATATTTACTGTATGTCTCTTTACACTGTAAAGAGACATATTTCTTTCGCTGGCTCATCTCTCTCTCTGTCTCTCTCTCTGTCTCTCTCTCTCTCTCTCTCTCTCTCTCTCTCTCTCTCTCTCTCTCTATCTGACTTTCTCCTGAGCAAAACTGACGATCACCTAGGTTATACCATATTTTACAACTATTTTATAACAAGTTTAATAAACTAAAATAACAGGATAATTGTCCACACAAAATAAGATTAGGAGACCGATCACTCCCCTCTTTCAACTCTAACTTTTTATTTTTCCCTACTGGTGACAGAAAAGTGGTGATTCTGCCTTTTGATTTTAAAGCCAGTTCTACTTGCTGACAAAATGATGGATTTTCCCGCGATCCTAGTGAGGATAAAGTGGTTCGGATGGATAGGAGATCCAAACGCGTTTTGTTGGTTGCACACAGCAACAGCATCAGGTAATAGGTGGTCTTGTACTGCCACCTTTTGACCAAAGTCAGTCATTTTTATTTCATAGAACGGAGTGGATTTAGCATTGTAAATATCTCAAAACTCTTGACAAAATAAATTAAAAAAAACACACTAGTGTGATTAGTGAGCATCATGTCTTGCGTTATATTACCGTATTTTGTTGTTTTATGTTAACTCTTCTGTAAACGCTTTGTTACAGCGGCAGCTGTTCTAAAAGTGCTATATATTGTATTGTATTGCACCTGTACATGTGCAAAAGTACAATTGACCTAGATGTTTATGTTTTGCAGGCCACCATAAAAACCACTATCTTAAATTGACTGTAAGATCTTTGTGAGTATATCTGATGTAGGCGGCGTGAGAGGCTGTGACTAAATGTAGACTCTCAAATATTTGAATTAAAAATCCAAATTATAACTGTTGAGAATGAACATTAACTTCCGTTATTCACGTGATATACAGTACATAAAGCTTCCCAGAGAATGCAAAAAATGATACCTGAACTCGGAGTGTTTTTGTGTACGTGCATTAGTGCGAGCATACACATGCATTTTATCAATGAACACTTTTTTCATTAATTTCAAACAGTTTTATTCAACAGTACAACAAATGAAGAGTAATATAACACAGTGAACTACTAAGAAAATTAACCAATCAGAAATTATAACTACGCCTTATAATGGAAACAGAATAATTTTTAAGTTATGATCGAACATTCGGCGTTTGCATCTTTGCGACTCGCAAACATGACTGTCATCAAACGATTGATTGCTGATTTCATACGGTGGCTGCCGGCTAATTCTTAGCGACTACACTGCTAATGTTTACGTGGGCCTGCCGTGCTAACTGCTGCTCGCATTTTCAGGCTTTCCACTTGATCACTGAGGTGCTACGTGTTCAAATGAGTCAACAGGTTTCTTGTATTGCCTTGTTTTCGTCGACATACCACGCACAACAGCTTCCTCCTCCGTGTAGCTCTGTAGGTAACTTCTCTTGTCAAAATAACTTCCCTATTACTTTCTGTGTACTGCTTCTTCTGTCATTCATTGGCGGATTCTGTTTATTTCCACTTGCAAACCAATGTTAGAATGGGGACACCAATCAGCTCAAGTCGCAAACATTTCCAGCGAAAATGGCCGTAATGCCGTAAATATGCTCACAGCTTGCTGTTGGTCACGGAATATCACTAATCTCGATCATATAATCACCCAGTCCTATTTATATTGCCCTTTGGATGGTAATCGGCCGGCTGGGTGGTGTTGCAGAGGGGTGGCGTGTTTGACTCAATGCCCAGCAAAAAACAAATACAACAACAAAAAAAAGATCTTGGTCCGTCTCTGTCTGGTCCGGTACCGGTCGTTGGGACCTCTGAACTAGATAATGTTTCCCCTGCGACAGTACCTCATTCAACTCCAAGAAATACTGCTGATAACTACTTTTCACACAAATTGTCACAATTCAGAAGGCATTGAAACATCCATCCATCCATTTTCTGATCTGCCTAATCCCCACAAGGGTCGCGGGGGAATGCTGGAGCCTATCCCAGCTGTCTTCGGGCAGTAAGCAGGGGAAACCCTGAAGCAGTTGCCAGCCAATCGCTGGACACACAGAGACGAACAACCACCCGTGCTTACACTCACACCTAGGGACAATTTTGAGTGTTCAATCAGCCTGCCATGCATGGTTTTGGAAGGTGGGAGGAAACCGGAGTACCCGGAGAAAACCCACACACGCACGGGGAGAAGATACAAACTCCACACAGGAAGGCCAGAGGTGGAATTGAACCCGGTACCTCTGCACTGTGAGGTCAACGTGCTAACCACTAGACCACTGGGCCGTTGCATTTCAACATATTAAACATAAATTAGACCAACCACAAATATCTTAGAGCTTACCTAACTGACCATCTGTGCTCTGTCTGGAAGGATCATGTTAATATGCATTTGATTTTTTTACTCTGTGCTGTCATACAGTCAAGCTTTTTTTCAGCCACTGGTATGTTTTCTCAATATCAGCCACTTTTTGATTTTGTTGGTGGTTCATCCCATGAAGTGGCTTGTTTTCCCATAACTGTCCATTTGGCTCCTTCTCCTTAGTGGGTTTCCGTTGCCTGAGGCATTCACGAAACAAGTCGCTCCCTGGGGACCATCATCTAGATGTATTTTTGGAGGCCTGTTGTTTCCTTATGAATAGTACCCTGGATGCTCACTTGTCCACGGCCCCCCTCTTTCGGCTTTGTGTACAGCCTCATGATGCTGGACTCGAGGTGGAACCCTCCAATGCTCAGTAAGGATATTGATGTAAGTGGCCTGCATCTCTTCCCATGCAATTATTCCAGCAGGGTATGTGATTACTGGCAAGGCATCACATAGGTGTTCATGGCCTGGATCTTATTCATGCTGTTCAATTGACTATTCTGGATCTGCCTCACCCTTCTTAGGTATTTGGCCGTCACTGCCCTCTGAGCTGCCTCCTCATGATTGCTATTTGCCTGTAGAATTCAAAGATATTTGTCGCTGTCCTGCACATCTGCTATGCTGCGTGCAGGTAGTTCAATCTCTTCGGTTGTGATTATCTTCCCTCACCTTGATATCATTGCCTACACTTACCTAGTCCGGATGACATTTCGATGTCATGGCTGTATATGAGATGAATCAGGGAGTCAATGTCACACTCACTCTCAGCATACAGCTTGTTGTCATCTTTTTTGAGGAGGTAGCTACTTATGAACCGGTACCCCAAACCACTCTTGGTTGTGCTCTGACTGAGTGGGTTTTAGGCCTATGTAGAACAGCAGTGGGAACAGAACATCTCCTTGGAACATGCCATATTTGCTATTCACCTGTGCATCTGGCTTTGAGTTGGCCTCAAGAGTTGTAGTCTACAGCCTCATTGGGTTCTTGATGAAGGTCATTAGAATCCTGTTGTTGTTATACAATTTCAAACATTCCCGTAAGCATGTATGCGGCATTGAGTTTTAGCCTCAAGTGCCTCATCTGTGGACATATTGCTGTATTTCTTGGTCAATTCTTCCTATAGTTTCAGACCTTTGCTCTGCTCTGTAAGGAGGCTAACTTCTTCTCCCGGTTGCCATAGCTTTCTCTTCCATGGAGGCGGCCCATGCTCCTTTCAGATGTTTATCTTATAGCCAAGCATCTCTAGGATAACTGATACTGCTGCATACATCAGCTGATTGTTCATGAGGGATACTTCTTATAGCGCTGTGTTGACATAATTCATTAGTAATTTTGATGGCACTTCTTCCTTTCACCTAAGCTAACAGTAGATAGGTGAGTTCCTCCAGGCCTTAATGATCTTCTTTCTCAGGTCCATTGCTGTATCTCTTGGGCAGTTCTTTCTTTGGCTTCACACCTCCGCTCTGTTCTGTTAGGAGGGAAAATTGTCTCTGGGTCACCCATACTTTTGCCACTTGCCTTCTCTGTCACAGTGGCCCATATTTGTCTCATGTTCGTCAGAGCATGCGTGTTTGGCAAATCCTGAAAAATGGAAACTGTTCTGGGTAACTATAATTGCCCATGTCAGCATTCCCAATTCCACTATTGATTCAGCCCATGTACAACTACTGAAATCAACCCTTGTTACAACCTCCTATCAGCTGGTCCCTTTGGGTCTTCAAGAACTACCAAGGAGTTAAACAGGCGTGCATGTGAAAATGTTTGCCCAAGCAATTGCCGTTTTCCTTGGGAGACAAAGTATTCAGCCTCCTATGGTGCCCACCTTCACTGCCCTTGGTACCACAGAGAAGCAAGTAAGTTTGAATGTACTAGCACAGGGGTGGCCGACCAGTAAGAGACCAAGGGCCAATTTTTTTACTGTGTTACCGCAAAGAGCCACATTACACACATGGGCACACATAAACATCATAAACTTCACAAACATCACCCCATCCTCCCCACGCGCACACACACACACACACACACACACACACACACACACACACATGCACAGACCCCTGCTCAGACAGATTTATTGTAAATGTCACACGCCAATATTATAATGACAGAAATTGACTCCTACAGTACTAAGACCATAGGTCAGTCATTTTCAACAATGAATATTTTGTGCACTGCATGTTGCTTAGCGCCTTAGTGCAAGGACTTCTGGCATTCCTTCCCTTGAACAATTCTCTTCAAATCTGGCTTGTATTCCGTTGTTGCCCCTCAAAGCAGGCACTGTCTGCATGCGAGCTGTAGGGGTTACTTACGACTTAGTTCAGCTTGCCACATAGGGCAAACATTTTTGACCGAAGATTGACTTTTGAAGCGACCAACCTCCCGCGAATGACCCAATCGTGCACGAGCAAGCATATACACATGCACGCATGCAGGTGCCCAACCATGCACACGTGCCCATATGCACGCACGCACGCCACGATGAGGCAGTGCACTGTCTCCCGGTCGATCGCAATCAACGTATTGGGCACCCCTGCCTTAAAATCAGAGGTAATTCGCTGACTAGCTCAGGGCTTAGTGCCGTTGTTTGTGCATAAGTGGTGGTTCAGTTGTCATCTGACTGGTTGCCCCGTATGTCAATCAAGTAACGGAATTGATGATAGGCTGACATAATAAGTTCTGCTGTACTTAGTGCAGTTGTTTGAATGGCAGCGCCACCCCCGAGTTGTTTTCGACGATTCTCATGTGAAAACCCAGGAGCCGCATTGAACCAGCCAAAGAGCCGTATGCGCTTGCGAGCCGCAGGATGGCCACCCTTGTACTGGCAAATACATTTGGGTATACTTTTTGGCTAAATGCTACAAATGTAGTATTTTTCCCACAATGCTCGAGGTACTGGCTATTGATGGGGTATGTGCATACATACGTCAATATCCAATGCCATGATGGGAAACAATGCCAAACAATGCACTAAAGACAATAAAACAATACAATTATTAATAAATAATGTTGACATATATTTTTTAAATAGATATTGGTATAATGTAGGTCAAATGATAAAAAAAAACTTTGGCAAGTGGATGATGCGGAAGTGGTATTTTGGGGAAAAAATGCTGAATGTAAATCATGCACTGCAGACATAATACAACCATAAAAACAATGTTTCAGTACATAATTTTCAAACATATTTTGTATAAGGTATGCAAAATTCCAAAAAATAGCTTTAGTAATGAATATGCCGTAAGTATACCATGTCTCCTCATCGTCAAGACACCCACAGCCCAGACCGCCACACCTTTTCTGCACCTTCACAGCAAGCACCTCAGTTCTGCTTTCTAAAAAAACTGCAATTGCACTTTCTGGCCAGAAGATAGCAATGTTTTCCATAGTTTTGCTTGGCGAAAGACACTGCATTTCTCATTTTCCACAGAAATGGGACTTAATTGCTCTAAAACCAAAATGGCGTTGGTTTTGTCACCCATTTCATATTCCATAGCACCACATCTTTCAAATGACGCCACTTATGAAAAATGAGGAAAATGAGAAAAGACCCAAAATATTTGGCATTTTCAAACAACCAACTCACCTTTCTCAAAGAATCATGACAGTGTCACGTAACTTTGATGGGTAAAAATTTGTCATTGATTGCGGTCTTTCAAGGTGCCAGTAATTCGACAACCAACACTAACATGGTAGGGCATGTTAAAAAAAATCACAAACTACTGTACACTTCTTGGAACACCACTCTTGCTGAAAGGACAACAAATGTTATTAACGTGTTTAAAATCATGCCTTATTTATCAATATCAATTGTCCTACTTACTTTATGACACAGCATCAAATTGGCTCTGGGTAGAACATGGCTGTTTGCATATAGGTAAAGCCATGTCTCCTGTTATGACACAAGCAAACAATTATTATGATTACTGTAATTAACATAAAACAACCATGTCTATTGCAAATAAACACATTGTACTCACACAACAGTCATGTGGGTACTGTTGGCCGTGTGCCACTAATGCGCTCGACCGCACCCGCTGCCTTTGGCTTTTCATGTGTTTGCCATTCAGGCTGTTTTTGCGATGAAAGGTTCCCCCACTTTTGCAATGACTGTGGTTCCCTCATTTAGGCCGCGGACGATCAGCTTGACCACTGTCAGAGGTGCCACGGCTCTGCCCATGTTGACAGTTGCTGGTCTGTCATTACGGCTGTTGTCTATGATGTGTGTCAAGTGATGGAACTTGCGAGGCAAGCGCGGTCGTCGGCTGTTGTGGTGGTGGACCCCTGCAGCCCTCTCCAACACAAAGTGCAAGAGTGATCTAGCTGCTACTACCTCGTCCGTCCAAGAGTAGGTTCTCTGCATAGTGCCAATTTGCTTCTGAGGTGGATCGCATCTTTCCCCGAGCTCACGGCAGCTGGTCAGGCTTTGGCAGTTATGCATGAACATGCTGCTGCCGGCTTGGATTGGGTGTTTGATGTTGTGGCAACGTCCAAGGAGACTCTCAGGCACGCAATGTGGTGCCCTCGCCCTCAGTGGCGTGTGACTGATCACCTTTCAAGGTCCTATAATGCAGGTACATGTGCTGGTCATATTCACTCACCTTATGTTTTCTCTCTCATCTGCTCTGTAGAGGCTGCAGCATGAAGGCCACCATGTCCTTTAATGACATGGCTCTGCAAGCCTTTTTCCTGTTGTTAAGGGAACATGGTCGTGGGTAATCCTTCCTGGTTCAGACACGCCGCCAGGCATAGTTACTGCAGTCGCCTTTGCCTGAGCCATATCGGAGTGCTCTCTGTAGTGCCCTTGTGGTTCCTGGGAAACCTTTAGGTTTTGCTGCTGTGGAGGGGGCTGGAAAGGTCGCTTCGGGCTTGCAAGACCTGACTACAGTTTTTCATCTTTACTAGTTTCTTCACCACCCCTAATGCTTTAATGTGCCGTTCTGCTGCTCCTTGCTGAGGTCTCTGCAGCATTTTTGGACTACGGGAATTTACCGTACCCAGTGTCCCCCACAAAGACCCGTGGCTGACTTTCGCTCCTCTGCCCTCATGTCTCTCCGGGAGTCCTGGCCTGTGGGTCCTGGCCCCCATTCCTCCAGGGCCCCAAGGTTCCGGAAGACCAGGGATTAAGGCCTTGGGGCCGGCTGTTAGTTACTTTTCCCATCAGCAGCTCAGTTACTGGGCTGCTCTTGCTCTGGACCCCTGGGTAATCTCGACCCTGACCCATGGGTAGAGGATTCAGTTCCGATGCTGGGTCAAGGAGATTATCATCAATGACCCGGCGAAGGCCTTGGCTCTAGACAAGAAGCTCTCCTCCCTCCTGGTCAATGACACGATCAATGCTGTAAATCCTTTGGCACATTCCAAAGGCTTCTACTCACCTTACTTCCTTGTATCAAATTATACTCAACTTAACTCAGCTGTATTTATAAAGCACTTTGAAAAACACTGCTGCATACAAAGTACTGTACATGGAGCAAAAATCAGATGTACAACAACAAACAATAAAACAAGAAATTAATAACATAGACATTAGAAAGCACTAAATCAGTAAAACTAAAAATCAAGTCTCATGCTGAGTCAAAAAAGATAAAAATTAGTTTTGAGACGACTTTTAAAGATGAGCAGCGAGGAGGTTTGCCTAATTTTCAGCGGGAGGTCATTCCAAAGAGAGGGACCAGCAATTGAAAAGGCTTGATCCAGTCACCTTTTGCATGATGGTAGTTGGAGCACCCCAAAAATCAGGGAGGAACAGGGTGGACTGACCAAGATGTATTCAAGAAAAATACAAACAGGAGTACACTGAAAAAAACGAACTTAAGTACTCAAAACAAGGTCCTGAAAATCACAAGGAAAAATAAGTAACAAAAACCGATGACAGAAACAAAACATGACAGGAGCACACAGGCACTCACAATGATCAAACAAAGACTGACAGAACTCAATGAACTAAATACAAGCAAAGTGACTATACAACGAGAATCACCTGGACAAGACACAAAGGGCTGAGGGAGCTGATTAGTTAAACACAAGGGACACGCATGACGAGAACAGGTGCCGAGAAAAAGGGCACATGAATGAACAAAACCAAATGTAATCGAAACAAAAACATAACAGACCCCTTCTCAGCCTCCGCTTAGTCCTTCGTACCTATAATAATATCTAGTCCGCAGACCTGAGGCACATGCGAACTTTGGCCAATGTATTATAGACAGTCGCCCGAGTGGAGTGGTTCACTTCCATCGATGTGAAGGATGCCTGCTTTCATGTCCCTATGGCACCTCATCACAGGCCTTTACTCTGCTTTTCCTACAGAGGCCATCACAGACAGTTCCAAGTGCTTCCTTTCAGCCTCTTACTCTCTCGAGAGTGTGCACTCAGTTTGGGAAGACTGCTCTTGCTCCCCTACAATCCACGGGCATGAAGGTACTTCAGAATCAGAATCAGAATAATCTTTATTGGCCAAGTGTGTAGAACACACGAGGAATTTGTCTCCGGTAGTACGGGCTACACTAGTATCATCATAAACAAGGACATGACAAATAAGTATGTAGTTGTCAGAGATTTTCTCAGACAAAGTTAAAGAAATGACTCGGCACACAGGAAAATTGTCTTCAATATCGGCGGGAGCGGATCTCTGAGAGTGAACGACGGTAGTTGCTCCGCTGAGCACACACTCGTCTCCCGCTCCGCCGGTTCGAACTTTTATTGCAAAATACAAGAGAGACACTGCCCCCGAGATTTGCATACCGCGCCCCCCGGTCCAGCCCCTCGGTAGTGATCTGATCTACCCGAATACACAAGTCACAGACTTTGCTGATGACAAATGTCCACCTGGGCGCGACAGCTGTTGCCAAACTGTCTTTTGGTATTCAACAACTTTTTGTTCCCAATTTGTTTATTCCCACTCTGTGATTGAATCTAGCCTTCTTCCATCTGTTCGCCCCCCTTGCTTTGACGTGATTACTCAAGAAAAGGCCCTCCGCCCAAATGGCCGACACCTCTGCGCTGAGTATGTCCAGACATGCCCAAATTAACCGAAACTTTAAACATGATACAATTTTGTTCATAGATTTCTCTATCAGTAGTGTAAGTGTACCGTTGTGCGGGGGTACCACCCAATGACAGCTGTGAGACAATGTGCAAAGTATCAAGCAGAGCTAAAGTGATCAGTGGTAGAATACAATACTATAACAGTTGTGCAGTTGGTGCAGAAAATCATTGCACCATTTTAAAGTGACCAGTAGCAGTATTTTTAATACAACAAGTGTACATTTGTGCAGATGTCCTTGAGTGCTTTAAAGTGTCTGGTGCTGTGGAATATAGATCAGTGACAGTGGTTCAAGTGAGTACAGAGCTGGAGCTACAATGGTTATAGCGGTAATGCTGTTCCACAGGGTTGTGCAAAATTGCAAGGAGCCACGAAACAGATAGATTTGGGTTACTGTTTAGGGAGTTAATGGCTAGAGCATAGGGGTCAAACTCAGGTCCTGGAGGGCCGCTGTCCTGCATGTTTTCAAAGTCTTCCTGTTGCAATACACCTGATTCAAATGAACAGGTTCAATGTCAGGCTTCCACAGAGCTTGCTGATGATCTGATCATTTGAATCAGGTGTGCTGCAACAGGGAGACTTGGAAAACATGCAGGACAGTGGTCTTCCAGGACCTGAGTTTGACACACCTGGGCTAGAGACAAGAAGCTGTTTAAGTGTCTGCTGGATTTGGTGCGCATGGATCGGTAGCGCTTGCCTGAGGGGAGTAGCTGGAAAAGGTGGTGGGCAGGGTGAGGGGGGTCCAGTAGGATTTTCCTTGTGTATCTGGACGACTGGCTGATCTGTGTGCCATCTTGTACTCAGGCAATCTGGGATACCTCCGCCCTGTTTTGTCTTGTGGGCCATCTTGGCAATGTCAATTCTAATTACCTTTCAGAGAACGACCTTTCTTGGGTGTCTTTGAACACCACAACCATGATTTGTTCTTTCAATTACAACTTATAGCTCAT